GGTTGCCTTCAGGGAAATCAACTAAACCTGAGAGGGAAATTTAAATGATGCAAGCAGAGCCAGGATTTGAACCCACTATGATCAGATAAATGTCTCTGAAAGGGCACAGTTTATGTCTCCCAAGACCTAACCCAAGCTTTGGGAACAGTCTTTCTCTATAGACATCCTTGATGCCTCACAAATTACTTTTTAGGTGCAGAGGTTAAAACAGGGTCTCACACACTGGCCTCAAACTTGCTATGTAGCCAGAAATAAGCTTGAATTTGTAACGCTTCCTAAATTCTGGGATTACAGACCAGCACAGCCACACCCAGCTGGCAGCTGTGGGCCAGTAGCCATCAAAGCAGCATGGGGTAGCCCTCTTTACCCTGGACCCTAAAATCAATTGAGGGACCCCGTTCCCAGGGTGTCTTTGTTTGCTGGCTGACACTGGTCCCTCCCTCCACCTGAAGCAAAGGTGTTTCTCAGACAGTCAGAGGCTACTACCCCTGCTAGTAGCCTCCTGGGGCAGAGTGGTCACTGTTGCCTTAGGATTGGGAGCTTGCAGCTTCAGAAACAGGGACCGGTCAAGAGATTCTTCATCCTCATCTCCTGGCAAGAGCCAACTTCATCACTCACTCTCTCTTTTCATCACTCATGTCCTTGCCCATCGGCTGGCATCGGGCTCAGCGTGGCTGTCTCATGATAAGTCAGAAATACGACAGATGCCATTAACATAACATTTCCATCTACCCTCCCAGAGTACGGAGCATGGAGAGAAGGCCCAGAGAGGTACAGCATCAAGAGAGAGTAGATTTTTTTTCTTTTATTGGTTTTTCAAGACGGGGTATCTCTGTGTAACTGCTCTAGCTGTTCTGGAACTCAACTTTGTAGACCAGGCTGGCCTTGAATTCACAGAGATCCGCCTGCCTCTGCCTGCTGGGTACTTTGGTTAGAGTCTAGAGAGAATGGTTTCTGACTGCAGATGTTGGAGATTAAGTCTGGCCTCTGCAGCTCACTCACTAGCTAAAGTCTTGGGGAACCCAAGGGTCTGTCTTCACAGTAAGAAAGTAGCAATTCCTCCCCCTCCAGGCTAGCACAGACAACACTGCAAAGCCCAGAAACTCTGTTCACAGTGTTGTTAGTCATATGGAAAAGAGACACAGCTCACAACAATACTGTTAGCAATGCCAAACTGTGTTTTGTTTTGCTTCTTTTTTGTTTGTGCATGAATTCACTTGTGCAAATGTGCATGCATGTGAGTGCACATGCACTAGAGAACAGAGGGTTAATCTAGAATGTTCTTTCTCTAGACACCCTGGGGTTTTTTTAGACTGGGTCTCTCCCTGCCACTCAGGGGGTCACTCATCAGGCTAGTCAGAAAGTTTGGCTTCTTTTCCTATTGTTGTGATATATTCTGACAAAAGCAGCTTAATACAGAAAGTGTTTGTTCTGGCTCAAGGTTCAAAGATACAGTGTATCTTCGCAAGGTAATTCAAGGCCAGAGGAGCTTGAATATTGAATCCAAAATCAGGGACCGGAGACTGATGAGTGTGCATTGCTGCTTAGCTCCTCCCTTTTTACTTTATTTTATATGTATGTGGGTTTCGCCTACATGTATGTCAGTACCCAAGGGGGCCAGAAGAGGGTGGTGGATCCTCTGGAACTGGAGTTACAGACAGTTGTGAGCCATCATGTGGGTACTGGGAATCAAACTCAGGTCCTCTGGAAGACCTGTAGGTACTTTTTTTTAACTGCTCCACCATCTCTCCAACTTTCTAACAGGACCTCAGCCAGCACATGGTACCTCTCAAGTAAGAGGGTCTTTCCTCCTCAATTAATACAATCAAGGTAATTTCCAGGACTTAAAGACTTGAAGACATGGCTCAACAGTTAAGGGTGCTTGCTCCCAGTCTAGTGTGGTGGGGGCACACTTTTAACCCCAGCACTTGGGAGTCAGAGGCAGGTGGATCTCTGTGAGTTCGAGGCCAGCCTGGTCTAAAGTTCCAAGACAGTTAAGGCTGTTACTCAGAGAAACCCTATCTCAAAAAACCACACACAAACGAAAGAGTACTTGTTGCTATTACAGACTACAAATAATCTGACTGTGGTTCCCAGCACTCACATCAGGCAGCTCATGACTGCCTCCAACTCCAGCTTCCGGGAGTCTGACACAGTCTTCTGGCTTCCAGGGACACCTGAACTCACATATATCACACCCCTACACAGACACGCCTAAATAAAAGCAAACACATGCACACAAATAATGGTTGTTTTGTTTGTTTGTTCGAGACAGGGTTTCTCTGTGTAGCTTTGGAGCCTATCCTGGCACTTACTCTGTAGACCAGGCTGGCCTCGAACTCACAGAGATCCACCTGCCTCTGCCTCCGGAGTGCTGGGACTGAAGGCACGTGCCACCAACACCCAGCTCACAAATAATGTTTTTTTTTTGTTTTTGTTTTGGTTTTATTTATTTTTATTTTATATGCATTGGTGTTTTGTCTGCATGTATGTATGTGTGAGGGTGCCATATCCCCTGGAAGTGGAGTGACAGACAGTTGTCAACTGCCATGTGGGTGCTGGGGATTGAACCTGAGCGATCTGGAAGAGCAGCCAGTGTTCTTACATGCTGAGCCATCTCTCCAGCCCATTTGTTTGTTTGTTTGTTTTGTTTTTGCTTTTTTTTTTGTTTTTTCAAGACAGGGTTTATCTGTAGCTTTGGAGTCTGTCCTGGAACTTGATTTGTAGACCAGGCTGGACTCAAACTCACAAATCCACCTACCTCTCTGCCTCCCCAGTGCAGGAATTAAAGGTGTGCACCACCCCTGCCCGGCACAAGTAATGATTTTTAAAAGACAATCCTCCATAGATGAGCTTAGAGACTTATGTCGCAGGTGATTCTAGATTCTGTCAAATGGGCGATTATCATGACCATCACAGCTGGCTTGCACCAGCAAGGCCCAGAAAACTGCCTGCCTCTGTCTTCCCAGCACTGGGATTTCAGCCATGCGCCACCATGCCCAGTTTTTTAAAATCAGGGTGCGAGGATTGAACTCAAAGTCTGACACTTGCAAGGCAAACTTTTTACCAGTGGAGCCATATCCTCAGCTCCTGTTTTGTTTTTTGTTTGTTTGTTTTTTGAGAACAGGGTTTTAGGTAGTCTAGGGTGACCTTGAACTCACTGTGTAGCTGCAGATGATCCTGAACTCTTCCTCCTCCCTCCACCTCCCAGGTGCTCACATTAGTGGGCACTGCCATACCAGGCTCAACAAAGCCTGATTTCCACACCCCTCATAGAGTCCCAGGCTTCTCAATCTGACCCTATAGAGAGGACCAGGCTCGTGGCAGCCCACAGAGGATGGCCAGAGAGTTCCCTGTTCTTTGGAGGCTCACAGCTAACAAGACAAAACATTCTTAATGAAATCCCCTGCCAGTCTGGTTTTCCATTTTCTGCCCAAAGCAACTGACTCTGTCTTTGCCTTCCTTCTGGGGATGCCATTGAATTAAAGAAACGTTTATTAAAAATCATATGTTTTGCAGAGTGGGTAGGGGAGTTCCAAAATAAATACGATAGTCTCCAGTTCTGGAAGGTGACAGAGGCTCTAACTGGAGGGTCTATAGCGTGCACGGACACATGCTCACGTTGTCTAGTGACTGTTGGACCAGGCTCTGATCTGAGAATTGAAGTGGGAATATGTGAGAAACCAATAGCCCCGCCTCCAGCTCTCGAGCTCAGTGTACCTACTCCCCAGGCAAAGCCTGCCTGAAGCACTGTCCCTCCTCTTCTGGTTATGGCTCAGCTGGCTCCACCAACTGCTCTTATGGAGAAGGAGGAGGTCAAAGGGGCCCCACCTACTGGGGAAAGCGGCTCACTCTTAGTTACCCCCTACTCCCTCCTCCTCTACATGGGCAATCCCAGGTTCTCAGGGAACTCCAGGGAACTCCGAAGGCCAGAAGGCCCCCCTTGCCTTACCTATCTGGTTTGTGGTAGAACTCCAAGCTTTTGGCTCAAAGCTGCTAACTGAAGACCAAATAGATGCAATCCCTGAGTGAAGTTGGACACACTCCGTGATTTTTCTATGAAGAGCTTCAGAAATACATAGTTAGTTGGTCAAGTTAGTCCAGATAAAATCCCAGCACTCGGGAGGATAATGCAGGACAGTGAGTTTGAGAACAACCTGGACTATATAGAAAGGTTCTGTCTTTAAAAACCAGGAAGAGAAGTAAAGCAAGGAGGACGGGCTAGGGAGAAAGAGGGAAGGAGGAAGCCCCCATATTTGTTGTCAAAGAAAATCCTAGCTGTTCCTTTTCCCCACCAAGGCCTAATCCTATTCCTGATCCCTCTAAGGTGGCTCACTGTTCATTGAGCAGCTCTTCTGTACTGGGGAGACAAGCCCGACCCACATATCTCCCTCCCCATGCTTAAACCAATTCCTGTATCCCCATTCCCACCACACAGTTCAGGGCCCTGCAGCCTTTCTTGTCCCATATTTGAGTCTATGTGAGGCTGCTGAGTTCAGGGAGGGAGGAGGTCTCCTAGCCTCTAGTCTCTGCCTGCAGCCCATCCCAAGGCCCCCCAACCCCATGTCAGGGAATCTGTCTCCGCTAACCTCGGGACTGGTCCCAGGCAGGTTATACAACTCAAAGCCCTTATCCACTGTGCCTCAAGGAACAACCCCAAACCTAGCTGTTTCTCCTCCGCCCCCGGGATCCCTGCACAAGGGCACCCTGCAGAGCCCACAACACTTGGGCCTGCAGCGCCCTGGCCCCTTGGTGCCGGTGGCGGCGGGAGCTGCCAGCTTTTTGGAATTCCTAATCGCTCCTGGCCCCGGTGATTGGCTGTTCAGCTCTGACCCCACTTGGGCAGCCGCCTGGTTGGATAAAAAGGGAATCTCCTTGGGGCTCCAGAGCATTAGACACCGGAGGGGGCACCTGGGACCAACTTCGCGAAGCGGGGAGCCCGGAGGGGGGGTTGGGGGAGCAAAAGACCCGCGGCCTCAGCCCCTCCAAAGAACCGGGAGATGACGGGAAAAGCGGGGGAAACGCTGAGCAAGCCCAAATCCGAGGCAGTGGCCAAGAGTACCTCGGGGGGCGCCCCGGCCAGGTGCACAGGGTTCGGCATCCAGGAGATCCTAGGCTTGAACAAGGAGCCTGCCAGCTCCCACCCACGGGCTGCCCTCGACGGCCTGGCCCCCGGGCACTTGCTGGCTGCGCGCTCGGTGCTCAGCCCGGCAGGAGTGGGCGGCATGGGGCTGCTGGGACCCGGGGGGCTTCCCGGCTTCTACGCGCAGCCCACCTTCCTGGAAGTGCTGTCCGATCCGCAGAGCGTCCACTTGCAACCACTAGGCAGAGCGTCGGGGCCGCTGGACACCAGCCAGACGGCCAGCTCGGGTAGGTGAGGGCGAGGCTGCTCGCCTGCCACACACTTCTTGGAGAGCCGCAGCCTGGAGCCGTCGGCTCTCGCCTGCGAACCGCGATCTCCCTCGGGAGGAAAAGTTCGTGCAGGCCTAGGAACCTCAGCCCAGGGTTTTCAGAGGGTTTTCAGGTTCAGCTTGTCCGACCCCCTGCTCAGTTCTTGTGGGTTAGTACCTGGCCCTGCCCGATCGCATCTCTGGGTTGGGGCCCCACTGGATGCAGGGCTCGGGGTGGCTGAGTCCTTGTCGCATCATCTCCCAGGGAGCTAACTGGAGGGTTCCAGCTCTGCTGCTCACCATGTCCCGGGCCTTGGGCAGGACCTGCGCTCCTGAAGCCTGATGCTGCTCCGAGCGCTAGCGGGACAGGAAAGAGGGGCCGGCCCTGGCTCTTGCCCCAGTGTCCAAAGTTGTCTCCTTTTCCTCCCCTCTTCTCCTTCCCAAACCCCTGTTTCGCTCAGCTGAGGTCCGATTTCCTCCCCCTACGAACTGGGAAAATAAAGCCACCACGGCATCTAAAGGGCATCTATCCATCAGATCCAACCTGAGCGTCACCCTGTATCGGATCCCGATTTTTCTCTGGATCAGGGACCCTGGATGAGTTCCCTTTCGCCCGCCCTTCCAGGGCCACTTTGCTGGCGGTGTGTTCTAGCTCACCGGCTCGCAGTAATTTCCCAGATTTTTCGTGCCATTGTTCACTATGTATTAAATATAGAAGGACAATGAAAAGTGATTCATCGCAGGCTCTCCGCACTCGAACAGAAAAACGTTTTGTGGGCGCCACGAAAAAGACAGCGAACCCGCAGTCCCCAGACCTTCCCAGAGCCCCAGCTCTCCACCAACAAGTCTCCGTTCCTCAGGTCAACTTTTCGACCTGGGACTTGGACTTGGCTTTGCCGCAGGGCAGAGCTCAGGGCTGAGAGCATACTAACCCGGGTCCCTGAAACCTCATTCTGCCTCATTCTCCCTCGTCCCTGCCTGCCCGCGCGCCTGGGCCTTGGCCTTTCTTGCAACGAAATTTGTTCAAAAGCTCGGGTTTCAGAAGCAGACCCGGGGAGGGCCAGCCTGGGCTTAGGGACGGGGACGGTCGCCCAGGCCCGGGAGGGCTTGGTGGAGACCACAGGCCCGCTCAGCTCGCCCAGGCTGCAGAAGGTGGGGTCCTCACCGTTTTCTGCCGCTCTGCGGAGCTCACTCCCCATTCCGCCTCCTGCCTCTCCGCCCGCTTTTCAGATTCCGAAGACGTCTCCTCCAGTGACCGAAAATTGTCCAAATCGACTTTAAACCAGACCAAGAAACGCAAGAAGCGGCGACACAGGTAAGGGCCTCACAGTTCTTTCCTGTTCCCATCCCCAGCTTCCTTCTCCCGGGTCGGGTCACCCAGATTTTGTTCTCTGCGGATCGCAGATGTGAGGGCCCCCGGCTGCAGCGGGGCAAAGACACCTGCGTGGTTTGCTGGAGCCTGCCCCCGAGGCCCTGGCACCCGGTGAGGGTGACTGAGTGTCAGCCGGAGCAGCCGCACCATTTCGGGTTTCTCCTTGTGCTGGGGAAAGGAAAGAGCAACTGGGGCCAGACCTGAGCTGCACAAACCGGGGCCCAGAGTCACAGACCCAGTGGAGAGCAGATAGATCCCACCTCCCGCGGGAGTCAGATCCGTGCAACCTCGGCCCTGGGGGCCCCGTTCCTCATACACTGCCCGTGCCTTGTCAACTCTCCAGTTTTCTGTTGCTATCGCCCCCCCCTCCCAACTCCAGTGACAGCTGGACCTTTGCTTTCGGCCTCTGCTCGTTTGTGCTACTGAGTCGGTCGCTACCTTCCGTGAGCCTCAATTTCCTAGTCTGGAAGATGGGGAAGACAGTGGGCTGTCTGGTTCCACCTGCGGAGACCCGAGTTGGGCGGCCTGCATTGGTGTACTGACTGAGGAGAGTTGGTCAGCTCCAGGGGACCCATGCATTCTTCTGGCCTCCTGGGGCACCATGTACACATACTAATAACCAGACACATACACATATTTTAATGTGAAAATGTCTTTAAATAGACGTTGCATGTCCAACGTTAAAATTCAATGGGTCTGTCTTAAGAAGTATGCGCCCTTCGTCCTGGCCAGGGGTGGGGTGGGGGGGTCAGACTCTCTTGTCAACACCAATTCATTCCTAGCGGAAATCTTAGGAGGATTTTTTAAAGCAAAGGGAGGTGAGGGTCAAGAAACCTGAGTTTCTGGGAGTGCTGGTCCCAGCTGCTGCCCCTGCGCCCCGAGAAGGCCAGTTTCTTCACTTTTCTCTGTCCTAACCCAAGTGGGGAAGCCACGGGGACAGCGGCTCTCTGGCTTGTGGTCTCATCTCTGAGTCTGTGCATCGTGTCTCTCCCCGCCCCCACCCCGGGCTTCTCTTCGTCCTGAATTTCCCTAGCCTCCCCCCACCCGCAAGGGTCATTACTGACTCTCTTTCCTGACCCTTTAAGGGAAAGCGCACTTCAGCTTGGGTCTCTCGAAGGGGTGGGGGACCTCACTTCATTACCTGCAGGCAGCTGCTGGCTTTAGTTCAGTTCGTTTTATTCTTTTTTTAATTTATGTTTGTTAGTGGTACGTGTGCGTGTGATGGGGGGGTGAGGGAATTCACGTGAGCCACGGAAGCATACCTGGTGGTCTGAAAACAACTTTATAGAGTTGTTTCTCTCTTCCTTTTGTGGGTTCCAGGGAACCTACTCAGGTCTCTAAGGCACATGCCTTTGCCTTAATGTTGAGCCATCTGGCCAGCCCAGTTTATTTTAAACGTGAATTTTTTTATTAGTCCAGTCACTGATCTTTTTTTTAATCATCCAACAAATATTAATTAAAGCATTACCTGTGCATCTGTGTCCTCCTGGGACATGGTCAATGCAGTGGGAGGACTCTATCCCTGTCCTGGGGGTGGCATGGAGCTCCCTGGAAAAAGCACTCCCCAAGCTCTGGGAGCTCTGGAAATGCTGGGAAGGACCGCTTACTTCGCTGTCCACGTGGGACCGAGTAAGGCTGCCTTAGCTCTAAGTGTACCCAAACCCCTCATTTCCACCCGTTCTGAAAGAGAAACATTTTGGGTTTTGGTGGATTGGGAGTTGGGTAGGACAGCTCACTGATGTCAGCCAACTAGTTACCCTGGGCTTCTGTCTATTTCTGGTTCTTGAGGGTAGCAGACAATTGGAAAGAAGAATGGCTACAGATACGGGGGAGGGGGGTCTATGGAAAACAAAATACGTGTGCCCGAGCTTCGGTCACATGAGGATTTTGAAGAAGAGCCCCTGGAATCCTGTGATGAGAGATGGGCTTCAGGAAACAAATCAGTTTCAGCAGGACTTGAGGGTAGGCGGGGGAGGGGGTAGACGGGGGGGGGGGTTTGCAGGGCAGGGTCCAGGAGGGGGAGGGAGCGTAGATAGGGGTGCAGGGCAGGGTCGAGCCACAGACCCGGCTCCAGAATTTTGTTCTTGGGAAAACTGCAGATCCTCTTGCAAGAGATCCTGGACTCTGCCTCAGCTAGGAGCAGAGTTTGGGGCCACTGGGTGGGGGAAGGGACCCTCCTGAAGAGTATGTAGTCATCAATAGGAAGACCAGCTCGGAGGTAGGAATGGGGGAGGTGGGGGAATTTAGTTTGCTTCTCTCTCTTTCTTTCTTCCCTCCTTCTGTCTGTTTTCCTTCTTAGTTTTAGTTTGTGTCTTTCTTCCTGCAATGTGGTCCTGACTGACCTGAACTATGTTGATCAAGATGGCCTTGAACTTGCTCTGTTCCTCCTACCCAATTCTCCAGCACTAGTAGCACAGAGCAGTTCCCACCACACCTGAATTTTGTTTCTTGGACGAGACTCTCCCAAGTGCAGAAAGGCCCTTCATCACTCTAAATGCTCGAAATCAGCTCCCTTTGGGCTTTGGCCAGGCCACACCAGTTGTGTTCCTAAGTTTTCCTAGTTTTAAAGGGGACTTGCATATTTTGATTGATTTTATTTTGATGATCTGTTCAAGGGATCTCCAGCAAATAAACAGACAGAAATAGAGAGCGGCAGATTTTCAAAACCCCTAAGAATGAACCTTTTTCTTTCTTTTTGTTTTGTTTTGAGATAGGGTCTCACTGTGTAGTCCTGGCTAGCCTGGTGTACACCAGACTGGCCTCTAATTCACAGAAATCGGCCTGTTTCTGCCTCTGCACCAGGATAAAGGCATCACTACCACACCCAGCCTATGAATTAACTTTTCATGTATGTAAGAATCCCACATATTGCCATCAAGAGAATAGACAAAATAATTTAAAAGCAAACTAGTCATTTTCTATAAAGAACACAACCTTCCTCGCTCATACACTCTTTGTAATATCCCTGGGGATATTGAGGTCCATATTAACTCAAGAAATGGGGACTATGTGTGCACTTTTTCTATGCTCTGGGGAGGGGGCGCACAGCGGGGAGATACTCTACAAAGAAACCTGTACTGGCCTCAGGGTCCAAATCTCAGAGGCTCAAGAAGGGACATGCCACTTTTTACAAGTTCTGTTTGTAGAAACTGAACCTGTTTTGTTGATGAGGGTGTAAGATAAGGGACAGGTAAATGCAGTGATGTAAAATCCATGGAGAGAGTTTGCATCTATAAGTGAGTGGTTCCTAGTTTGCTCTAGAAGGGGGATTAGGAACCCCTTAACATTGGAGGCTTGTTATGGGGGAGAGAATGCAGCTTTTGTCAGCTTGTCGTTGTTGGGTTTGTTTGGTTTTGGGTTTTTTTTTTTTTTTAAGACAGCGTCTCTCTACATAGGCTGTCCTGAAACTTACTATGTAGACCAGGCTGGCCTTGAACTCACAGATAGCCTCCTGCCTCTGTCTCCTGAGTGCTGGGATTAAAGGTTTATCATCTCTTTAAATGAGTCAGTGGGAATCATTCTGGGGGTAGGAGAGGGGATCAGTACATCCTTGCATTTTCATGTGAGAAACTGAATCTGCATGGTGGGTCTGGGTGGTACAAAGGGCAGGTGCGGAGGATGGAGGGATGGGGGTCAGAGGGCGTGTGACTCCATTCTCACTGGACAAACACTGAAAGGGAATCTTTACATTTGCCTAGTGGGAGGAGCTCTGGATGCAGGCAGGTCCTGTGAGCCAAGGCTTTTATGTATTCGATGAGACCTCCTTTGGCTTGTCAGGGAGGAAGACTGACTTTCGGTCTTATAGAATTTTCTTCTTAACACACTTCACCCCACAGCAGTGTTTCTGGAAAGATTCTGAGTGAGATGTCACTGAAACTAAAGTAATGCCCACCACCAGGATAATGTGACACCTCTACCTCGGATAGAGGCTAGAGGGTCAACATGTGTGAATGTGTGTTCATGGTGTGTGTGTGTGTGTGTGTGTGAGAGAGAGAGAGAGAGAGAGAGAGAGAGAGAGAGAGAGAGAGAGAGAGAGAGAGAAAAGGAGGAGGGGGAGGGAAGGAGGGAGAGAGGGAGAGACAGGGAGGGAGAGGGAAAGAGAGAGAGGGAGAGAGAGAGAAGGGGAGGGGGAGGGAAGGAGGGAGAGATGGAGAGGGAGGGAGAGAAGGAGGAGAGGGGGGAGGGAGAGGGAAAGAGAGAGAGAGAGAGAGGTATCAGTTGTGACCAAGGCACAGGAGAGAGATATCCTGCCTTCTCCAAGGTGGGCTCCTCCAAGTTTCCAGGGTTCTGAGTTCCGATCTTGCTCCCTTAGGACAATCTTTACCTCCTACCAACTAGAGGAGCTGGAGAAGGCATTCAATGAAGCCCACTACCCTGATGTCTACGCCCGGGAGATGCTGGCCATGAAAACGGAGCTGCCAGAAGACAGGATACAGGTAACAGCTGCCAGCCCCTCCAGACACCTGGAGTCATCTCTATCCCCAGGGGCAGCAGCCCTCCTCTAACCACATCTGCCCTTCCCTGGGGGCAGAGTCTTTCGCCAATGACCCTGTCCTCAGTAAAAAGAGTTTATTTAAGTTGATTAAACTGACAGGCATTCGCTGAATACCTACCATGTATAGGTGGACAAGAAACTTGGTAGATATGTCCTGTCTGCTCTTGTGAGTAGCAGACTTCCTGTGCTGAGGATATAGCTACGTGGGGGCGTACTTTTCCTAGCGTGAGTGAGGTCTCGGGTTCTATTCCCAGCCACTGCAAAACCCGAATCAAAGTGCAGATGGTAGGCTTCCTGAGAGTAGGTTGCAAGGGCCGTGAGAAGGCCTGGAAATAAGAGATAGAGTTGACGGGGGCGGGGCATCCTGAGCGAGTCTGTCATAGCACGTGACTGTTTTAAGGCCAGAGGTAGGACCAGGTGGCCGCGGGTGGCTGAGAAGGGAAGCCGGCTTTTGCGGCTACCCTGGTCTGCTGCTCCTCTCTCCTCCCCATGAAGAAGCTTTGCTCTTCTCTTCCCATCCCTGGTCACGGCACCTTGCATCCGGCCGCAGCTCTGCGCGCCCCTCGTGACCAGGCAGCTGCGGTCCCTGCCCACAGCTCCTGCTCAATGCTTCTTCCTGGACTGGCCCAGAATATGGCTGGGGACACATGCCCTCTAGTGGAACTCACCAAGCCCCTCCTCCTCTCCTGGGTCCTGTGGTAGGAATGGGGGGGGGGCTCCCAGCCACATCTTCCCAGGATACAGGAACATCATGAGGCAGAGAATTGAGTGGGAAGGGTGGAGTATTTCCAGAAGAGCCGATTCCAGGCAGATTTTAACCTTAAATGAAAGCTGCCCCAGGAAGGCCTGGAGGGGGATTCCTGCTGCTACAGAACTGGGGGCAGCCAGTGTTGGCCTTTAATCCCAGCAGAGGCCGGCAGATCTCTGTGAGTTCAGGGCCAGCCAGGTCCATAGAGTTCCAAAACAGGCTCCAAAGCTACCGAGAAACTCCATCTCGAAAAACAAAAACGAGAGAGAGAGAGAGAGAGAGAGAGGGAGAGGGAGAGGGACAGGGACAGGGACAGGGACAGGGACAGGGACAGGGACAGGGAGAGGGAGGGAGAGGGGGGGAAGGGGAGAGGGAGAGAGAACTGGTGGGGGTGGGTGTTGAGGGGAGGTCAGGTCCTGACTTCTGCAGGCCCAGCATCTTCCTCCTCTCTGTCTCCACTGGAGGTTCTTTCTGTCACCAGGTGTTTGGTGGAGGAGAGCATCCCAGGCCTTCTAAAGAAGGAAGCAGAGGTTACGGGTTGGTCAGACGAGAGAACCAAAGACTGGAAATGAGGCCAGAAGCTGTTTTCCCAAAAGAGATTTCCTTTCACTAGAAGTCAATTCAGAATTTCATCTCAAGGCTTTAGACATTGACACTAACAATAAGCTCAATTATCCATAAGCAGCTTATGTTTATCTATGGAGACCTGGGGCTGCGTTCCAGAGGGGGTGACTTGGGTGTTGACTCTGAATTGTTTGTGAGTGCACACATGGGCATGGGGGGGTGTGCTCTGTAAGCCAAGGCCTGGTTTGTCTAGTCATCTCCTTCTGACCTTCATTAGCATCAAGTTGGCTTTCACAAGCAGCTTTGAGGCCATTGCTGACAGGCCCACGTTTACACAGCTCATTAGTAAGAAGAGCCTCTGTCTGGCTAGTACGCTGTCTACTCTCTGATTGGCTGTGGCACGGTCGGCAGGGTTGCTGGAAGCCGGAACCTCCCTGTAACTGCACTGCCAATGCTCCCAACAGGCCCAAGGTTAGCTTCATTAAGTTACCTGGGGGTTGCCTATAGGGAGGGGTTGGGAGTCACCACAGCCATCACAGGGAGGGGTGGGAAGCAGAGAGCATTGCTCTGGGACTCTGACGCTGACTATTGGGTGGATACAGGAGAGTTGAGGCCGGTCTTGCCAATCTCCTGGGCACTCCACAGCTAAGTGCCGCCCCTGCAGGAGTTTATTGCCCCCCAGCAATCTAACTAAGTGACCTGGGGAAGGTCTTGGTAACAATTCCAGGTATTCCAGAGTGCCGAGGGTATGTGTAGGCAAAGCAAGGTGAAATAGGGCTGGTGACACGGATTCCAGGCCAGACTCGGTGGGTTCACAGCCGGGCATCTCCCCAGAGCCTCCTGTACTCATTGGATTGGAGCGGACAGACCCTGGCCCTGGTGCAGATGCAGCAGGCTGCATGTGGACAGAGCAGAGCAGTGAGGGACATGTGTCCCTGGTCACTCAGAATCGGCTCGGTTCTCATTAAACTCGGTGACAAGCCGCAGGGTAGACCAATAGCCTCCGTTAGAGCTAGGGAAATGAAGGTTGACAGCTTCCTATGCACAATAGCTAGTAAGTGGAGGGTGTAAGACTGGAACATGGGTCTCAAAGCCCACCCTCTTGCCTTGGGCTTCTTGGGTTTGAAGATGCTGAACCCAAATCTGGAAGAACAAAGGTGATCTGAGGTCAGGAGAGGGGCCTGGGCATGCTGATGGGTGCAGCTAATGTATCTGGAGATGGGCAGCTACCAGCTTAGTGCTCCCTTGCCTGCTCCAACACAGGGTCAGCTGTGTGTGTGTGTGTGTGTGTGTGTAAGAGACAGAGAGTCTTTAGAGCCGGGAGCTGACAAGCAGAATGGACCAATGGTTGTTTTGGGTTTGGTTTTTGTGGTGGTGGGTGGGGAAGAGCTCACGTCCTCTTGCCCAGCACCCGACCCCTGAGCTAAGGGATCAGGATCAGCTCTCTCGGGATCACCTGCCCCCCCCCAAGGCTCTAAGTGGCCATTGATGTGATGGGAGTGCGGGCCAACCAGAGTTTAGCAATCCTAAGTAGACAGTTGGGAAGTTTAGCCCTTGCTCCTCCAAGCCAAGTAAACTTGTGGTAAAGCTGAGGTCTCCTGCCCAGTCTAATGACAACCCTAGGCATACCTGCTTCCATCTTTGTCCACTGCCAGCAAGTCACAGGCTGAGCCCCATGTGACTCATTTGTAAGAATAACATTTTCCCCAGTTCTTACCTTGCTGATGGGATTGGATCTGGGGCCTTCACTAAATACTCACCATGCCCTAGGTATTCAGTACCGCGCATGTCTGTGGCATTTCATCCTTCATACCCATTTTCTGGATGAAGAAACTGAGGGGCTGGAAGGTAAAAATTGGTAAGAGGCTAGGATTCAGAGCCCAGTTGAACTGCTACCCCATGAGATGAAATGACGCTATCTATACAAGTGAAGTTAGGGCGAACGGCAGTGACTGTGGACCAGGGCGCACTGGGTAGCTCTGGTCTGGGAATGCAGGGATGAGGTTCACGTGGGGAAAGAAAAGATTCTAAAGCCACCACTTAGACTTGACCTCATGGTCCTCTTCATGTGTCACATTTAGAATGTACGTTCTGGAAGCCTCTTCAAGATGTCGGTCCTGGGGAATAGGAAATGGAGCTCCAGACTAATCTTATTTTCTCTGAGGTCACATGTTGCTAGGATTGGAAGAGAGGGCTGTATACACAGCTTTTGGGGTTTGGGTTTTCGTTTTGGCGCTAGGAATGGAACCCAGGGCTGTGCCCGTGTTTGGCAAGCGCCCTGCCGTGAGTGTCACATGTCCCTGCTCCTGTGAGTTTCTATGTTTTTAACTGTGTGCACAGTGTCTGCAGAGGCCAAAAGAGGGTGCTGGATCCCCTGGAGCTGGAATTATGAGCCACTATGTGGGTTCTGGGAAGTAAACCCAGGTCCTCTGCAAAGCAGCCAGTGTTCTTAGTCACTGAGCCAACTCTTAACCCCCTTGGCTCTCTTTTAAAATATATAACTTTTTTTTTTTTTTGGTTTTTCGAGGCAGGGTTTCTCTGTAGCTTCGGAGGCTGTCCTGGAACTCACTTTGTAGACCAGGCTGGCCTCGAACTCACAGAGATCCGCCTGCCTCTGCCTCCCGAGTGCTGGGATTAAAGGCGTGCACCACCAATGCCAGGCTAAAATATATAACTTTTTTCTTCCTTAAAATTTGATTATTTTTGGGTTTTCGAGACAGGGTTTTTCTGTATTGTTTTGGAGCCTATCCTGGAACTCACTTTGTAGACCAGGCTGGCCTCGAACTCACAGAGATCCACCTGCCTCTGCCTCCCGAGTGCTGGGATTAAAGGTGTGCACCACCAATGCCAGGCAAAAATTGATTTTTGTTCTCAGTTTGTGTGGTGTTTGCGCGTGGCTTGTGGTATAGTTGCCTGTGGGCGTGCAATGCCTGCCCTCAGTTATGTTCAGAGACCAGAGGGGATGTCGGGTGTCCCACCCTATTGCTCCAAATGTCCTCCAGACAGGGTCTTCCCCTGAATTTGGATCTAGACTGGCAAGCAGTCAGCCTCAGCAATCCTTCTGCCTCAGCCTCCTAAGTGCTAGGGTTATAGGCAAGTGCCACTCAGGTCTGGCTTTATTTTCTTAATGGATTACTCGGCTATTGTTCTTAACAAAAGATTGTTCTCAACAAAAGAAACCCTTCTTGGAGAAGAGGAAACGTGCAAACTGGATGGATACAGCCCCACACTGCCCCTAGCAACCTATTGTGTGGGGGAATGATGAGTGTTCCACCTTGACTTTTAATTTTTTGTTTAATTTTTTTTTAATTTTTAGACCTATTCTTGCTATGTAGCCCAAGCTGGGCTGGAATTTGAAATCCTCTTGCCTCACTCCTGAGTGCTGGGGTGGATCTCTGTACCCAGTTACTACCCAAGACTTCTGACATACTCTTGACTGGAGACCGCTTTATAACAGGCATGGTGGCCCATGTGATCCCAGCATTTGGGAGGCTAAGCCAGGAGGACTAGAGTCCCACTATAACCTAGATTCCATGGTTAAGGCCAGCCTTGGAGACACAGTGAGAGTGTCCATCCCATCCACAAAGCTCCACTCCAGAAGTTCAAGGTAGCTGTCCTGGTGGGAAAGG